AAAAAGGGTTGGCTCCAAAATGGACCCCTGCAACATCTCACTCACCACATTTTTCCAGTCGGATTCATTCCCATTTAGCATGACACTCTGCTGTCTTTGTTTTTAACCACTGTTTAATCTATTCTAGTATTCTCTTTATCCATGTGCCTGTAATTTTCTTGCTAGTCTTCCATGTGGTACTTTATCAAAGGCTTTAGCGAAATCCATGTATACTATTTAAGGGTCCCAGTAGTACAGTCGGGTTCATTCTTGACTCACAATCAAGAATTCTGGGTTCGAATCCCAGGCGAGACAGAAATGGTTGGGCACATTTTCTATCACCTAATGGACGTGTTTACCTAGCAGTATGTACTCAGTGGTTATTCAGCGTGTTGTGGGGTTGCATCCTAGTGATGGGTCAGTAATTCAACCTTGGGGGAGGGGGATCTCAATATAAGCCTAACATGTATGAATACACTCTGGCTGCCTGTCCCCCGACACAATGAATCATTAATTATTATATCAACTGAAAGTCCTTCGTCCGAGTAGCTGGTTACCATTTCTGTGGTTAATCTATGGTTAGAATGCAGAAAGACACTCTTGATGTAATATACAGTACACAGATTTCATGAAAGCTTTTGACATATGTGACCATAATGTTATTGCATACAGAATGTGAACAAAAGTACTGTACTGGCAAAGTAGGAACATGGAGCTTTACTTCATAATGAACAGAACCCAGTCCCAGAGTGTAATAGTCAACAAAGTAAAACCCAAATCATCCACCATGAAATGCTCAGTCCCCCAGGGTGCTGTGCTTGCTTCGGTACTTTTGCTCAATCTCAAAGAAAAGAATATAAATTATAGCACTGTATCATCCTTTGCAGATGATGCTAGGATTTTCATATGAGTAGACAATACAGAGGACACAGCAAACCTGATGTTAATCAAGGACTTTCAATGGGCCACAGAAAATAACATGTTTAATGAGGATAAGTTCCAGCTAGTATGCTATAGAAAAAACTAAATATCAAAATGGAAACCATATAAGCCACATGAATATAAAAATTGCAGTCAAACCACACTGTTGAAAGAAAAAGCAATGTAGAACATTTAGGAGGAAACATGTTGGAAGACCTTACTTTTAAAGACAAAGTAGTAAACTTTTAAAGTGGTTACTTTTAAACACAAAGTAGCTGTCACAACAGCAAGAAAAATGACAGGTTGGATAACAAGAATCTTTCTAACAAGAGTTGCCAGATCAGAGAAAAACAAAAGATACTTTTTAAGACATTAGTACTCTCTTAAAGTAGAATATTGTTACACACTAACAGCAATATTCTGGAGAACTGCTGACCTAGAGAGCGTGCAAAGATCTTTTACTGCTAGAATTCACTCAATAAAACATCTAAAATAATTGGGACTACTTAAAATTTAAAAATCTACCACATATTCACTAGAGCGTAAGCAGGAGATATACATAATAATTTACATTTGAAAAATACTGGAAGGATTGGTTCCAAATCTGCACACAGAAATACCACCACATGAAACCAGAAGGCATGGCAGGATGTGCAAAATTGCCCCATTGAAAAGAACAGGTGCAATAAGCATACTGAGAGAGAGAACTATCAACATCAAAGGCTCCAGACTGTTCAACATGCTCCTTCTACACATAAGGCATAATTGGCTGACCTCTCACAATGTTCAAAGGAGAACTTAATAAATACCTTCAAAAAAACACCTCATCAACCAGGCTGTGACTTGTACATCAGGCTGCAACCAGTTGAGTCAAACAGCCTGGTTGATCAGACCACCAACCAGGAGACCTTGTCAGAGACCAAATATTTAGGGGGAATTGAGAATGATTATGTGAAAGTTCTGATAAGCATATAATTCCAGGAGTCTTGGCCTGGGGTGGAATTCATTAGTATATTGTCTATTGCGTCTTCAAAGTTCAGTGTTGTTAGAATGACATCCGAGATGTGAGTGAAGGTTGGTGCCAGGCTTGTGAGAAATCTTTTGGATTGTCAACCTTCAATGTGCTTATTGGTTTACTGAAAACCCAGTCAGTGTGTATCCTCAGTATTTCACTTAATTGTTTATATTAATGAAATTTGCATGTTCCTTCTGCTAGGCATCAACATTAGAGATACTTCTCAAGAGCACTGGCAAGAGCTAAAATCCCTTTTATAAAGTAGAACAACAAACCACTATGACATTATTGATTCCAATAACAATAAATATTAAGAATATTGGGGATTAATAAGGAAAGAACAGGTTATTCTGGCTAGACTGAGACTTGGTTGCAAACACACCTTGGAATACAATGACAACAATGACCCATTCGCCACACAATACAAACTATGCAGGCAACCTGATTCTTGTACATAACCACCAACATGCGATAAACCTGTAGATATCTAATTAAAATAAACTCTTCCCTAATGCAACAACTTGCATTTCTTCTTGGCTAAGGAATGCCATTTAAGATGTACCAAACTTTCCCTTAAAATGTAATATTGCAATAATCAATTTATTATATACTTGTATGTCATTGAAATACTGTATCCTTGTAAGCCTGCCAGCCATTGCTTCATAATTATATGTATGTGAAACAAATGCCACAGGAAGGTTCAGAATCTTCATCTTGCCTTCCTTTTGGGAATTTGTCACTTTTTATTTCACTCCCTGCACATGATGTGGAGGGAGAGAAAAATATCACTCCCAAATATTTGCACAAGTATCCAAAAAAATGCTCTCTAAACGAGGACAAAAGAAGGAACTGCAGAGCACAAGATGAGGGAATAAACTGCAGATCATGAGATGAGGGAATGAGCTGAAGAGTGAAATGAGGGAAAGAACTGCCAAAAGTAGGACAATGGAAGGAACTGCCAGTTGGAGATCAAGGAAAGAAACTGTTTAGAATGGGATGTGGGAATGAATTGCAGAGTAGGATGCAAAAAGGAAATGAAGATTGGTAAAAAGAAATTAACCACAAAACTGGGATCAGGGAATAAACTGCTGAGAGTAGGACAGGAAAACAAACTGAAATAATGTATAAAATAAGAAACTTGAGTGCCAAAGGCGGATATTCCAATGTAAAGTTAAGCAACAGCAAAGGGCAGGTAAAAACTGAGAGGAACACACAATGCGCTTGCAATCATGCACACATTTTTAGTAGTCGTGGTCTGCCTGTGGGGTCGACTGTCGCAGTCTTCATGGTCCCCTGGGTCAAACCCATAATTATATTTGTGGTAGACGGTTGGAACAAGTTAGGCGAGAAGGTGATAGAGGCTAAAACAGTCAGTAGTTTCAAAGTGTTATACTGTATGACAGAGTACTGGGAAGACGGAACACCACGAGCATAGCTTATCCTGTAACTACACTTAGGGAATTACATAAAAGTGTTAATTATCCTTCAGCCCTCAGCAGTGAAAACACGGTTTTAAGGAGGAAGCAAGACACTTAGATGGGAGTGCTGCCATCTGGTGATTGATGGGGTAGTGGCAAATTGGGTTAAACAACAATTGGTAGAATGCTACTAGGTTTTTTCAGTTTATTTATAGCAGCACTTGGAAGGGGTTAGGGTGCTATAAAGGTTTTTTCTATTTGACACCTTGTGCTTTAGTGAATGATTTCCAGTGCTCCTTAACACCAGTGTGATCTGGAAGGGGCTCATTGAAAGTGATCCTATGGCATCAATATAGATTCTTGCCCTGCCCTGACTCTTCACATCACATCCAACGTTGATCTTACCTTAAGGGGCAACAAAATGGAAAAGGTAAAGAAAAACTATATTTGTAGACATTTACTTGAGTATATTAAGAGATTTTCAAAATTTGATGTTGAAGGGTACATTTTAGAGACATAATGTACCTTGTACAATGAAAACAAAGCATATGTAGCACTGGATGAAAGTTTTAAAATGTATTTTGGCATTTGATTATGGCGTGCAATATCTCTTTACTGTATATTTTAAATACATGTACTCTATGGATCAAGCCATGAGATAAAATATTCACAACTGGCTGGTTAATGGCAATCACTTTGAGTGAGCAATATTTTCCTTTGCAATAATTAATACTTAATAAAAATAATTATAAATCATTTCCTTTAAACAAAATTAAATTGTCATAATTTATAGTCATGTCCATTAAACTCTGTAAATATGTTCAGAGGTTCTGAATACTATTCACTAAAAACAGATTTCTATACCCTGTTTTGTTGATATTCAAATACTGACTCAGGAGGCCACTGGCAAGAAAATTAACAAACTAATCTGGAGCAGAGTGACAAACTGCAGATAGTGTTAATGCAATAATAAAGCAGTTTTCCTAGAACATGTGACTTTATTAAGAGTTTAATGCAGAAATTTATTGAACAGAACTGGTTAAAAAAATTTCAACTTGGTTTCATCATGGTCACTAAGTTTAAAAGGGAACAAAATGATTTAAACAACTGCAAATTTTTCTCTTATTAACCACTTATTAGTCCTGCTGGATGCAAATGACCTGAAGATTTTTTATTGTGGCTTATTCTGTATTACTAGAATGCAGTGGTCTATGTCATTGGCTCAGAGGGTCATGGGTTTGATTCCTAAGGCGAGACAGAGATTGGGGCTGGCAAGTTTCCTTCTCCTTTTCCCTGATTTCCCTGTTCACTTAGCAATAAATTGTTGTAGGATGCATCCCGAGAAATGTCGGTAGTTAACCTAGAGGATTCTCGATAAGTCTAAGTACAGGCTTCCCATCGCAACAAACAAGAAACCAACCTACTTGGTATGGATAAATGGCCCAATGATTTATACTGTATGGTGATCAGAAAAATTTGTCATTTTCTTTAACTAGTTAAGATTATAAAATATTAGGCAATCGAAGATAGCAGATGCACAGCATTTCAACCCCATATAGAGAACTTAAGATGGCTATACACTCTTCAAAGTTTCAAGATTCATTGTCCTCTAATATTATACATGATTTTGAAGATTTTCATGCCAACATGCACTTATGAAACTTTACCTTGACAGTGAGGTTAAAATATCGAATATCTCCCTCTTGGTCGATGGCCTCAAAGTCAAGTGGTGCCGAGGGCTTGATCTCTCCCGTCAGAGGGTGAATTGTAAAGTTGCTCTGGGGGTCGCCGCTCAGGATAGTATACCGCACCTCGTGGTTCATAGTACCTGAACACAGTATGTGGATATGATCAATAAAATGGACAAATGAGGATGTCATGTACAGTACTGTCTGAAGATATACTGTATAAAACAAAAACCAAAAACATATTAATTATTGGTTATTAGAGGTGTCGACTGATTTAAAAATGCTGTATCCACAATTTAGAATCATCTTGATATTATTACATGACTTTTGCAATCAATACGGCTCACAGTACTGTACTTATAATTTTTGTATACTTAATTTTATTAATTACAATAATTTTGTAATTCATTTTTATTAATTATTTGTATGCAGTACAAACAATTAAGCATTAAGAAAGAGCAATAATGCCATTTAAACAAAACTTGTGGAGACCTACCATTAAGATCATCGTCCCTGGCTGTGATAACAAAGGGCTCAGGGAAAGTAGCCGAGTTCTCCAATAGACGAGCCTCATACCGCCGCTGGAAGAACACTGGTGGATGGTCGTTCACATCTTCTACCACCACCTTCACTACCACTGTGTTCCTGTAAACCACCACAAAACATTACTCCTTCCAACCCAGGACTTGTAAAAATTTGACCAAATATTCTATATGTACTGTACTATACTCTAATGTATAAAATGAACAATATATACTGTATATTCAGTATATATGTACACAGTTCTATAAAACTATTTTGATTTGATTGTTGCCACTGGAGGCGGCTACTTTATTGTGCACCCCATACTCATCCTGTGACTGGTAGCGCAAAAATAATTACAGAGGACACAATAGATCTTTATCAGACCTCAACAGAGATTATTACATTAACAAATTCATCTATCCTTCACACCTTATAATTACAATGTCAGCTAGTTACAGAGAATGCTCTATTTCAAGAGCTATATATTTACAGTAAATATATAAAACTACCTTACCGTAAACCCCCAAATTCTGTAATCTTCCTTAAATTATTTTCAGAGCTTGGTAGAGCTAGACAAATCCAAATGTACATAGCCTAAACAATACAATAGACGAGCAGCAGATATTCAAAAGGGAGATACGAATTCACAATTTGTTATAATGCGCGCTTACCTGTTGCCTCTGCCGAGGTCATCCCTGGCCTCCACAGTGAGATAATGTTCAGCCACACTCTCTCGGTCTAGTGCCCCGGGCTCTTTCAGAGTAATCACACCTGTCTCGTGGTTCATCTCCAATCTGTTGGTAAACAATGCAAATGTAACAATAATTGAGGAATCTGATGGACTAACTTACTGTTGCATACAATAAAAATTAATGTGTTGGACTGCAATTTAATTTATATTTAAAAAGTGAAACTTTAATTTATGGCATTCATAAAACTAAAACTTTCTTCTGCAACAGTCATTCTACTGGATGACTATCCACTTCAGTGTCTGGTTCAGGCAAATTTTTCAACAAACTAACCTAATAACAAAAGACATGACACACAGAGATATCACATGATTTCCACCATGTGATCACATGATGGAAATCACATGTGATTCCATCATATGATTTCCAATCAATGAACATGATATTCCAAAGAACAAATTCACAGGAGCCTTGATGAGGGTTTGAATCTATGCACTGAGTGTTCCCAGATGCGCTCAAAGACATGATGTTGCTTATCACATTGTTAGGTCTACTTTTGGTTAGTAATGAAAGTTGGGTGACAATCTGCACAAACATTTGACTGGGTACAACATTTCCAATGTTTAAGTGGCTAAACTTGTCACTTGCAGATTTTTGCCATATCAGAAAAGGACTGTATAGATGGCCAAGACGCAATATTAAGATATTGGTGCTAAAAGCTGTACTTCACCCAATCAGTTTAAGGAGAGACTAATATTTATTTAACATCATGTAATTATTATCCTATATTCAATTCCATGTAACTAGTTTCACTCACATTTTTCCCTTATAACAAGTTATTTTTGAGTTGCTTTTTTCTTAAAAATTATATTTATCGAGCATTATGTACTTTCTGCATTTGTCATCATCCAATTTTTTGCATTTCTTTGTTAAAGTGTTTACTCATGTTGTTTATGTTCCTGGTTCATTTTTAGTGTTTGTCCCATTAACCTTAAATTACTATATTACTCTATGTTCTGTTATGTTCCAAACAAAATATTGTGAGTGAGTCCAGTTGCTTTTCTAAACTACACCCTGTATTTCTATTCTGTTATTAATGTAAATAAACTATTGTACTATTGCTACAACTACTGACTCCATATTGTAATAGTCTTGCCAGTCATCCTTAAGTGTCACATTTTTTGCATCCATTTGTTATTTTCCATGAATGTTCTTACTTTGTTTGCTTATTTCTTCTTTAGTATTAAGTGGCTTATCCAATTACACCTTTGTTAATTTTTTTTGTCCTTTTATTTTATGTTTTTGCCTGAAACGCTTTGTGTAACAGTGGCTTCATAGATTTTTTAACTCCTGTTCCCCTACAATTTGTACTTTACTCCCATGTACTTTGTGCACACTTTCTTTTGAATAAACATTGAACTGTTTTGCATGATTGTCCTCAAAACAAATGACCAAAAGTGCATCTATCCTGCAACAATATCCTAATATTATGCATCAATTAAACTGACCAAGCAAATGACTTACCACTTATTACGTTCAAAATGTTTCTCACAAAGTTCATCCTTCATTCACTAGAAATATTCCTGAGACCAAGATGAGTGTTATTACATATCTCACCAGTAGTTACTCCTAGCACCAGTAGTTACTCCTAGTTCTACTCCTTTTGCCAAAAAAGCCCCCAAGCACTATACAGTATATATCACTCAATCAAAACCAAAGTTGGTAACACTAATAACACTAATAACATACCAACCATAATATACAAAAATGATGCTTATATACTTGCATCAATCACAGCTCAGCTCTTCAACAAAACTCTTAGTCACAAATCTCACCAGATATACTAAAATAAAAGTCTAGATTAACTCCAAAGTACAATGGGGGTGAAACAGCTGTCAAACAATTAAAGACCAATATCATACCCACCAATAATATAAAAAATACTTGAAAATATTATATACAAACAGCTCCTCTTTTAGTAAAACTAAACATACTAAGTTCCAGAGTTTCCCTTCAGATACCAAAAGAGTACCATTGATGCCATTATTAATATACCTGACCAAATTTATAGAATCCCTTAACTAAAATGAAAACGCGCTTAACCTTTCCAGTGACCCGAGAAAAGTCTGTAATACCTTAAATCACAATAGCGGTCTACTAAACTTCATCGCATCTCAACAACAGACATCAATATATGTAATCAATAACATAACCTCTTTCATTAACTACAGGAGTGCCTCAATGCAGCATTTTAGGACCTCTCCTATTGGTCAAAGTAGCTACTAGTTTAAATCAAGTAGATTAGCTTCAAAGTAATGAAGCAATTGTTGGGTAAAGGAGGACAGACATAAGGCACAAATGTGAGGACACCCTTTTGGAATCAAGAGAGAGAGAGAGAGAGAGAATGGTCTAGGGGGTTGATATTAAACTGAACCTTTGATTAGAAGTCCACATCAAACTAATATTACTGGCTGCATATGCAAGATTAGTCAACATAAAACTCTAAAATTATTAAGAGTCTGAACAGGGGAATCATGTATACTGTACTACATGTTATAACAGATCAAGAATATGTGACATCAGCATAGGCTCCTTACCATGTAAACACAAACTGAAGCTTTAGAAAGTTCAGAGATATGCCTTCAGAATAGTCTCAGATCTGAGAGGTATAAATCACAAGGAAAGGTTAAGGAATTAAACCTCTTTCCCATGGGTCTGTCATCAGGAGTGAAGAATACTGTTCTGTAATAACTAAACCATCAAATACTTCATTTTCTAAAGGCAGCTGTTCAGGGTACCTCCCCCATCACCCTGCAAAGTTGGGTGAGGAGAACCCCAAGCGTCTGGCCTCCAGCCTCTTACAGACATTTCCTTTCATAGATACACACCTTCATGCACATAAATGCACACACACACTAACCAATTTTAATACTTGCCTTAACAGAATAATGTCATGATCCCTCTACCTTGTCTATGCTCATAGGTTTAATTTTGTTGGGACAAACAGAATTACTTGCTCATCACTGCATGGTAAACTTGCATCATTAAAGCATGGTAAACTTGTTCATTGCCAATATAGCATGGTAACCTTACTCATTACTAAAAATGAGTAAGTAAAAATGTAGTAACAAAAATTACTACATCATGGGAGCCTTAACCATCATCAGTACACATGATAATTTTACTCATCACTAAAACATAGTAATACCCGATTTACCTGAGGGCCACTAACACTAGTGGCCTCGATGAGGACAGGAAGCCAGCAGCTTGTTGAAGGACCCCCCCCCCACCCCATTTGCCTTTATGACCTTTTCTAGTTGGACTTTAAAAGTTTAACAGACTTTTGGCATTTATGGCTTCGGCAGATAGGTGGTTCCATGGGTTTATAACTCGGTGGGTGAAAGAGATTTTCCAGTTCTCAATCCTACATTGTTGCTTAATCTTGAAACCATTGCTCCTTGTTTGTGTCTATCTGACCTTGTGAAGAAATTGTCTGATACACATCTTCCAAATTGTTCGATATTTTAAGTTTCAATGATGTCTGCCCTGTCGTGCCTGGTTTGTAGTGTTGTTAGCCCTGTGCCCCTCAACCATTCCTGATAGGTGAGTTGACTTAGCTCTGGAATGATTTTTATTGCCCGGTGTTGCACTTTCTACAGAGCAGCTTAAGATGTGGTCTCCACATCTTAAGAAGTGCTGTCCTGGAGAGCATGCAGAGATCCTTTACTGTTAAAATCCACTCAGTAAAACATCTAAACTATTGGGACAGACTAAAATGCATAAATCTGTATTCTCTAGAGCATAACTGGGAGAGATACATAACAATTTATATGTGGAAAATATTAGAGGGGCAGATTCAAAATCTTCACCCAGAAATAACACCACATGAGACAAGAAGGCATGGCAGGATGTGCAGAATACCACCATTGTAAAGTAAAGGTGCAATAGGTACTCAGAGAATGTAACACCATAAAGGTGTTTTAGTTGTGTTTTGAATTTAATATATACATAGAACATGAGTCAGCCAGACAGGATTTTGAGAGGCAGCACGTTGTCTGGCCCCAGTAATTAAAAACTCACATCTAGAGTGTTAATGACTACAAACCGAGCTATGGTCAGGTCGTGTGATTTCACCTTTCTGCTTAGCCGATAATAGCTGACGGTTGGTGGTGTCTTTCCATCAAACAAGCCACTGGTTAAGGTGTGGCTTGGTAGATGGCCTGGGGCTACCTACTTGTGGGCGGAGTTTAGCTCCCACTTTCGCAATAAATACCCAGGGAACTGTACATTCGAGAGCACAGCAGAGCATAGTAAAACATAGCATTGGAGAACATCAGCAGACAGCAGCCGAGGCAGGCTGTCGGCCGGACGGGAGGGGACACTGCTTGTCAACTGTAGACCTCTCCCCCCCCCACCTTCTTCTATTCTACTTAAGGCTCAATCTTTGGTGAGTGAACGTTAAGGTGACTTAGTTCGTGTTTTCCAACCGTTAAGTGTTGTGTGATTATCAGAGGCAGACAGATGTAATGTTCTCAATGTCTTGTGTAATGGTTCACATTGTATAGTAATCCTGATATAGTAAACCTTAAGTTATATTGCTTAAATTATGATACTCATTATGTTAAATATAATTAATGAATTTATTGTTTAAATTGTCTTTAATTTTGTTCCCAAGAGCACTGTGAGTTGAAGTGAGAGAGCCTCTGAGTTTACTGATTTTATGAGTATAAGTACGCTTAGATACAGAAAATGCATGTTAAAGTAACATTTGATAACAGCTTAGAGTACAGACAAGTTCCATTCCTTGTCGTGTATGTAATGAACTAGAATGGATGGTGGCAGCCCTTTCTACCTCCACTATCTACCTTTCTATTTCTACTCTTCTATCTATCTACCTTCTACCATTACTTCCTACTCTCTCTCCTCTCCCTCCACCTCACTTCAAACTTTCCCTTTCACCTGACCACTCCTCGCTCCTCCCAGACTCCTTCCCTTACTCCTCCCATCTCCCTCCCTCACCCCAATCCCTCACTCATTACTTCATTATTTCTTTCTTACTATCTTTCATTTTTCGATACGTTACAAGAAAACTATTAACATCAGAAGCTCGAACCATTCAACACGCTTCCACCACTTATTCCAAGGATTTGGTTAGCTTTTTCTGAACTGTTGCTCCTATCTGATGTGCAACTTTCAGTGAGTGGTTGATTGTGACTGCAAAGTCCTTTTCTTCATCAATCTGCTGTAATGTAATGTTATTAATTTGGTAGTTGTGGCGTGGGTTGCTATGCCCTATATGCAAGGTCTTACATTTGTCAATATTAAAAAGCATTTGCCAGTCTTCCAATCATTTGTGGAGTTCATGTAGATCTCTTTGTAAGGCTTCAATATCATTATCATTTCCCAGTAATATAATATCACTCACTACTAAAGTATGGTAACTTTACTCATCACTACAATGTGCTAATCTTATTGCTAAAATATGGTAACTTTATTCATCATCACTAAATCAGGTAGCTTACTCACCATCACCAAAACACAGTAACCTCGACCAGGAGACCTGGTCGAGGTTACTGTGTTTACGAGGTCGCTCCGAGGACATTATCAGGTGGGGAGTTTGACTGGGGCGGTACATCTGTCAAATGATAACGCAGGTGTCCTAAGGCCAGCTCAGCGTGGACAGAAACCTCGCGTAGAGCAAAAGGGCAAATTTGTCCAACCCAGTCCTCGACCAGGAGACCTGGTCGAGGACCAGGTCGCAGGGACGCTAAGCCCCGAAATCATCACAAGGTAACCTTAGTCACCATCGGTGAAGCATGGTAATCTTACTCATTATCACCAAAACATACCTACCAAATACTCAAAACCATAGCAGGATTACTCACTTGTCGGCAAGAGCGCCCCTGAGGTCGGTGTACCTGATGCCGCTAGTGCCGAAGGTGCCACTGTCGGGGTCAGCGGCCTGGACCCAGACGAGGGTGGCCCCCACCGCCGCGTCCTCCGGAATCAACACCTACCAGGGAGGACACCCCATCCTCAGTACTCCTTAATTATGTATCAAAACACCTCGCCAATGGTAATTGCTCGCAATGTCTAATTTAAATATTAAAAATAAGCTCTTCGTCATGAGTATAACATTCTGTTAGTAGTTTATATGTAGTACAGTATATGCAAGGACTTGTCGGGTGGCTCACCTGGTACTGGTCCTCCTTGAAGACAGGGAAATTGTCGTTGGTGTCTCGTATGTGGACGGTGACCAGGGCGGAGGAGGACTTGGGTCTGTCAGCCACCGTCTCCCGTGCCACCACGGTGAAGTTCACCACTGGCAGGAAAAAACCACCATCATTATATAGTTACTGGCTCATACTATATCAACTCTTATTGACATAAAATGTGTGTGATTGTCGTCTTACCTTTGACTTTTTCATAATCGAGCAGTGCCGGGTTTTTGACGCGTATGAGGAAGGAAGCAAAGTTGACTCCTTCAGGAGGAGTGACGTCGAACATACCTCCGTCACCCTCCAAGAACATCCTGAAGGTGCCATTATTTCCCTGCAGGATATTCAATATTAGGATATTCATAAATTATTACAGCAAGAAATATCTTTAAATATATGACTCATAATTTTTTTAATCACAAATGGCATAAAAATGTCAAAATAAAAACATGCCAAGCACTGCACAATGTTAATTGGATGTGTAAGAATACCACCGTCGACGAGCGGTCAATCATTCGTCGGGGTGATCTACCAAATGGTACGTCTTTTCGTTTTATTTTCGTGACTAATACACCCTGTTATATATCTAAATTACACTGTTGTGGACGACTTATCAGACATTACATGAGAACCCGTGGCAAGCCGTCGGTTCCCTCTTCTCGCTGAGGCCCCTTGGAATGGTGGCACTAAAATTACCACCCAGAAGCCGTATTATAACTGTTAAGGGTCCTGGTGGTACAGTCGGGTTGGTTCTCGACGCACAATCGAGAATTCCAGGTTCGAATTCTGGGCGGGACTTTTCGAAATGGCTGGGCACATGTCTTTTCACCTAATGCACCTTCTCACGTAGCAGTAAAAAGGTACTCACGAGTTAAGTCAGCTTGTTGTGGGGTTGTATCCTGGGTGGGGTTAGTAATTCGACCATGGGAGATGGGGGGGGGACCTCGATAGAAGCCTAACGTGTATGAACACACTGGCTTCCTATCCTCTGACCTAATTAATTATATTATGAACCCAATGTTTTATACTAGTTTCTCTCTAAATACTCACAGAAAACGAGAATATTTCTGGTTTTCATACGCATTCAGGTATGACCATTCTGTTTCATTTCATATTTAAATTCAATATTTTTTTATTTCACACATTATCTTCAATATTAGGTAACTCATCACGACGCCGCTACACTCCCTCCTTCTCGAGTAATGAACATACAATCTACCACATCATTTAACCTCCCCCCCCCCCGTCATCCTCTCAAACACCTACCATACCATCATCTACGTGAAACTTAACAACCTACGTCAGGAGAGGTCCAACACGCCTCACTAAACACCACCACAAATATTTTGTCTTCCAATCTTAGTACCACGGAAAACGCCTTACAGTCTGGCTAAAGTAAAATGCAGTAATTTATCTATGCCAAGTTACAGCAAGACAGGCGCAAGGAGCGAACTCGGGGATCCTGGGTTCGCTCCTGTACTCTGAGAACCTTGTATCCTGAGTACTTTATACCCTGAGTACCCTGAACAACGTCTTGTTTAAGTATATCCAACGTCTTCCATATCTTCAAGGTCTGAATAAGGTCTAGTCTGTGTATCTTTAGAGGGAACATGATTTTATTCTTCACAGAATTTACTTCTCAATTATTTTATTAATATAGTCGTTCTGCGCTTCGTCCGGTTTGTAATGTTTTTACAATTGTTAAAACGATTATTCACGAGGCTACAGAACCTTATTGGGGGGGGGGAGAAATGCTATCTACCAACAGATTAAATAATGGGGAAAGTCTTATCTAGAACAACAATTTATCATACCTTCAAGAATAATTACAAATAAATAAGAAAAGCTAAAAACAAATAATGTCTTCGTGGCTTTAAACAAGATGAATGTATTGGCAAACGTGGAAAAATCAAAGTGTTAAGGAAAAATGTAAATAAGTAATATGTCTCCGGGGTGTGCATGACACTGGAGAGGCCGAGGAGCAACACTTGCAACACAAACACTGGTCACATGAAGCCGCCGAGGACGTGCACGAAAAACTATACAACACACCACAGTACAGTACAGAAGCCGGGCAACATCGGCTCCAACACACAAACATCACATTTGTAATGAACTTATTTACAAGGTGTTATTTACAACCTCCCGCTTGTTACCTTGGAGCAGCCAACTACACTATTTGGTTTTAATAAGTGATGCAAGTGATGCATCATGCATGTAAATATAAATAGTATTAGTATAAGTTTTCGTAATTAAACATTCTGAAAAAGGATGAGTTACTCCCAGGAATTAGAACCTTATGGAGAAAGATTAAGAAAGCTTAGTGTACATTCTGTAGAAGGAGGAAGGGTAGAGAAGGACATGGCAGAGGTTCACACACATGAATGAAGGGATATAACAGTTAAGGTAATCGCGTACAAAATATATCAACACAGAATGGAGCGAAACAATGGATATAAACTGAATACATTTTGTGTCAGAAAAAAACTTCAGGTGTTTGGTGTCAGGGTTGTAGAGTTATGGAATACACAACCGCATCATACACAGGGTCAATGGCTACTTTCAGGTGTTAAGTTCGACTTTGTTGTGAATTAGTTGAGTGTTTGCCTGAATTTATCTGAAAACCACCTACTGTGACTTCATTGGGGACAGGAAGCCGACGGCTTGTAAAACGGCTCCCCATTGCCCCTTTGGATTTTTTCCAGCTGCATTGGGTCAATAGGCCACCTAAAATTTCCTAGACAGTATGCAGTATATTTTTATCCCATTAACGCCAGTTAAAATTTCACTCAAATAATAGCATTAAAATCCCCAACTGGGCTAGTGCCACTTTAACTGAACTAATAGGAATTTGTCTCGCTAGATAATATCTAAACGTGAATGAAGGCAGTGCAATAATGTGCAGATCTTAAGAGTGCTCTACGGTCATTCAATAATACACACACGTCTCTGACCGTACTGGTGACACACACATGAAGTGATGGGTCGTAATTGTCGTACATAAATTATGTGAATGCGGTCTTTCCCTACCACTGGCCAATATGGTCATGCAGACCAACTTGTCACTGACACTTACATAATATTCTGTCAGGAATTCAGTACATCCTCCTTGATAACGAACGGTGAACAAGCGACATTTTAGCTCTGAGGATGCCTAATGACCTCAACTACTCTGACTGAGCATTTGGTTTGCCGTCAGTAGATAAAATACAAATTAAGGTCAAGATTCACTGGGATTTGCCATTACACAACAGTGACGGGTAAGCGCTTACACGGGAATGTCAAACAAAACAAAACTTTTCACCCATGAGACTTTCCTCATTGTAAAGTCCATTGGCAAGACAATCATTATTTAACTTCATGATGTATCCATGTGTACAGCAGTAAATCACAGCCTTTGAGAAAATATTTAACGATCAAATTCGCGGACTTGACGAGCCGAAGTGTAAGAGGCATGCAAGACCTATGTATGATAACGTTAGAAAAAATATACGATGTAATAGGAAGGAAGGTGATACGGGCTGCTTCCTGGGGATGTGTGTGAGCGTGTTAGAGATAAATATATGTAGTAGACATAATAGAGGAAAAATAAATTGGTTAGAAAGGCGGGTTCCAAGAGCTAATAGCTCCATTCTGCAGGTACAAATAGTAAATACGCGCGCCACAAGACAAGAAGCACACGACCTATGCTAGAGGTGATACAAGAAGCAGAGGTGTGCCGGCCCTCAGGGAGGCCCCGTCCTGCTAGGTCAACACTGTCCCATCTGTGTGGCACCACTTATAATAAAGTCATTTGGAAGTAAATATAAACATTAACTGGAAAAAGCGAAATAAGAGATATATATTGTCAATACCACAAGCAGTATGAAGCAGACACCAACGGTCGCCAGCGTGTGTTGTGGTGTAAGGTTGGCCTAGATATTTCCTCCCACACAAACACCAACACATACTTCTAAAACAACCATTATGGAGAGACTCACCTGGTCCATATCCCATACAAAAATATGTCCCTTGAAAAATCGAAGTCACATTAGGATCACAAGCCAATTGTCAAGTGAACATAAACATTATTATGAATCCCATTCAAATAATAGACATGACGTGACCATTAATCGCACTCTCAAGCAGATGCTACAGTGAACACTACCTACACAACGTCTCACTGCTTAAAGCTTAATTGGAACATATAATATAATAATTTGATCAAGAAACCTTGCCAAACCTCACCATGCGAACTGCATGTTCTTGTTTCCATGAACTATAAATTTGTAAGATTTACATTATTACATCTTGAAACTTGTAAGTTTAACAAACCCTTTATGTTGTCCGAATTTCCCACCACTGAGAGTCATCATTCCTGATACGGTACGATCTGATACCTTACAGTGCGATTTGACAACTTATCACTAGGCTTGACACCCAATTAATGACGTCTGACACTCAAACGCTACGACAGAGGCGAGGCGTGGTACCTGGTCGTGGTCGTACACTTCGGGGATGGCTTCACCGATGAGGTTGACAGGACTGTTGAACTGGGAGCCCTCGGCGATCTCGGCCACGTAGTGAGCAGCCTTGAAGGTGGGCGTCTCGTCGTTCACATCCTCCAGCAGCACCGTCACCTCCGTCGTCATGGTGGGCGGCGGGTCCACTACCCCGCTCTCCTCTTGGGCCTGACCCAACGGAAAAATATGCTGCATTTAGCAAATTATTCTAATGACCCCCAAGAAATTGGGTTGCTAACTCTCATATTACAGAACACGAATGAGTTTAACTTTACGCACTATCAAATCAAAACTTTATATGATGTAATTTAGCATATTTAGTCAGTGCTCGACTCAAATATACGTTACACAAGCGACATCTCACCTGGATCTTGATAATAAAGGCGCCGTTGTTAGAGAGAGGACTCTCGCGGTCCAGCGGCTTCTTCACGTACAAGACGCCGGAGTTTTGGTCCAGCTGAAAGAGGCCCTTATCGCCCTCCAGGATGGAATAGGTGATGTGGTTGTTCACGCCCCGGTCTCCGTCCACCGCTTTCACTGTGGGCACACCAACAACACACTCAATACACCTGCCACTACTATTCTAATGCTCGCCGCACCTCCTGTGAAGTAAGTGTTGCACTTAAGCGACCACTCCCATGAAGTAAGTGTTCTCTAAAAATACCCAATTTCATGAACGTGTCGCGGAAAGAGATATCCTATTTTAGAAACGAAAGTGGTGAAGAAGAGTGTCTAATTCTACACCCACAGTGTGTACCAATTTCCCGACCCTATTGCACTCTTACAAAGCTACATCTTACCCAACAGACAACTGGGGAAGCCGAGCTTGTCCCATACCTGGATCACACCTGAAGTGGGTTCTCGGAGCTTTTCTACTACCCAAGCCCGGCCGAGCTTTTGCGCTCTTTTTCACTGCTTACGCTTACAAAATAGGCTTGACTTGTTATAACTTGGTCCAATACGACATTATAATGGTACAGGATGGATCAAAACGTCAAATTCTTTATTATCAGATCTGTGGATCGAGTGTCTAATTTCAGGAACGTTATTGTGTCTGCCTGCTAGCAGCCGCGTCCAACAGCCTGGTTGACCATCAACCAGGCCGCGGGGACCTTGACTCCCCAGAATTACCACAAGGAAGAGTACTGCCTCTTCAACAGGCAATTGCTTGGAGCGGCCTGCAGGCCCACATACCACTACAAACAGGTTGGTTCGGCACTTGCAGGAAACAACTTCTTTCTTGAAGAAATCCACTTTTGTTCCAGAAATATTTATTATGCGTGCTGGGAGGATACTGAGCAGCCGTGGATCCCTGATGTTCGTACAGTGTTGTTTGTGCCTATGGCACCTCTACTCCTCACTGGCCCTATTCTGCAATTACTCCCATATCTTTCGTTCCATTATGCTGCCATTTTAATGTGCAAATTTGGGACTTGGTCTTCCACTATCTTCCATGTATATATTATTTGACACCTCTTTCGTCTCCTTCCATTTCAGAGATCTCTCCTGCTCTGAAAGGGAAAGCGAGTACCGGGCAATACTCGGAGCGGAAAAGCACAAGTGATTTAAATAGTAAGAACATTGTGGTGGAATCCCAAGAACTGAAGGTTCTCATAATTCACCCGATTATTTTCTTGGCTGATGTTAAATTGACTTGGTTATGCTCACTAAACGTCAGGTCGTCTGATATCATTTTTCCCTAGGTCCTTTACTTCTTGTTTTTTTTATGAGGGAGATCCGAGTATGTCTTACTTTGCAGTCCCTTTAAGTCCTTCAATGTTACCATCCCTAGAGCGTTCACAAGGGGTCGACACACACCTGCTGACCCTAGTCTAATTAAGCAGGGGCAAAGGTTACGACAAATGTCCTGCGTACCAAGATGTCCATTTAGGGCCCCTGATCAAAGGAAATAAATAAGTAGCTGCTGCATGAAAATACTTGTTACACCCAATTAATAAAAATAGTAAAATTCAAACTAAGAAAATCTGCACAGGTACACTGGAGGAAGTGGAGGCACCCGCTACACGTGACCTGTCCAGACAGATGTGGTTGAAAAAGGCACCTGCAAAACATCGCCTAGTCAGGTGCAGGTGTTGCTGGTTAAGTAAGTAATTATCAATAGAAGGCACCAAACGTGTTGCTGGTTAAATAATATCCTCCACTTCACCTGAACTAGTGAGACAAGTGCACCAGGGGAGACATTACATAGGTGTACATAAACACATTACACAGGTGTATACAGGTGTATATAGACATTGCAGAGCTGTAAACACAGGGTTTTACGGGCTCACTATAGCCCGTGCTACATGGATATTTTGTTCTGAGTCGCTAAATCTGAAAACAACAACAATATTCACATATAATCATCAACAAGAAGCCGAGATGACAAGCCGGCGAGGCATCAGGTACTGACCCTCGAGGACGCCGGAGTTGACGGAGATGTCCTCGGGGATGCGGGTGACGGGCGGCGCCTGGATGAACTGCGGGGGCTGGTCCTCCACGTCCTTCACCCGCACCACCAGGGCTGCCGTGCCCGTGTTCACCCGCCCGCTGATGGCACGGTCGACCGCCAGCACCTGTACCATGGGGCATGGAGACGCGTGCTTAGCGAGAGAGAGGGGCATACTGGGGCATGGGCGAGTACTGGCTCACTGAGAGTACCTGGACATGGGTTAATACTTGGGCAGGTGTGAATAATGGGGCATGACAGTACTAGAGCATGGAGGAAAACTTAGTCATATGGGTTTGTCTTTAAGAACGAGTAGGAATGATAGAATGTTTTAGACAATAACAGATAAGGGGATACCATGCCTACGAGAATATGTCAAGGGGGTAAACTTATGAAGTATGAACTACGTAAATTCTCATGGTGAAGTGCAAACAACTAGGTAAACACTGGTATCGAAGTACAAACATGGTAAACTCTGGCACTGTGAAGTACAAACATGGTAAACTCTGGCACTGTGAAGTACAAACATGGTAAACTCTGGCACTGTGAAGTACAAACATGGTAAACTCTGGCACTGTGAAGTACAAACATGGTAAACTCTGGCACTGTGAAGTACAAACATGGTAAACTCTGGCACTGTGAAGTACAAACATGGTAAACTATGGCACTGTGAAGTACAAACATGGTAAACTCTGGCACTGTGAAGTACAAACATGGTAAACTATGGCACTGTGAAGTACAAACATGGTAAACTCTGGCACTGTGAAGTACAAACATGGTAAACTATGGCACTGTGAAGTACAAACATGGTAAACTCTGGCACTGTGAAGTACAAACATGGTAAACTCTGGCACTGTGAAGTACAAACATGGTAAACTATGGCACTGTGAAGTACAAACATGGTAAACTCTGGCACTGTGAAGTACAAACATGGTAAACTCTGGCACTGTGAAGTACAAACATGGTAAACTATGGCACTGTGAAGTACAAACATGGTAAACTATGGCACTGTGAAGTACAAACATGGTAAACTCTGGCACTGTGAAGTACAAACATGGTAAACTATGGCACTGTGAAGTACAAACATGGTAAACTATGGCACTGTGAAGTACAAACATGGTAAACTATGGCACTGTGAAGTACAAACATGGTAAACTATGGCACTGTGAGGTACAAACATGGTAAACTCTGGCACTTATTTATTATTATTAACATCTTTATTGACAAAATTAATTACAGTTTTGCCTAATCTGAGAAACTCTGGCACTGTGAAGTACAAAGAACTAGGAAAACTTGGCCACGAATAAAGACCAAGTCGTTCTGCAGTACAAGAAAGTTTACAATACAACATTTTCAGTGCAAAAAGACTGACTCCAATGACTAGCAAGGACCGTCCAACAAGTACAAGGGTGCAGGTCATACTAGTAGTACCAAAACCCTGAACACTCCACATGAATGATTTCGTGAATCCCGATCAGAACACCTACAGGCTTCCTAATAACATACGTGATACAACCACTTAAGACGAAATACATGACGCTCAAGTGAATCCAGGTCCAGGTGAATCCGGGTAAGGAAGATCAAAGAGAAAGGATGCAATAGGTCAACCGAGGAAGGTCAGGTTGTGAGGAGGAGGAGCAGACTCTGGCTTATGTGAGGTCACTATAGTGACCTCACTATATAGTCACCTGACACACAACAACTGACCTTTGATAACAAGTTCTCTCCGTCAAATCTACCCTCAAGAAAAACATAATATCCGAGTCTCTAACTGACCTTCCCATATTATAACTCCAAATGCTTAATACGTGGAGTACAATATGAACGGCTTTGTAGCAAGTATATTATGTCAGTAATATACTTGCTCTATATTTTCATTAGCTTATGTGTAGACGAGATGGGTCTGTTAATTCTTCTTAGTCTACTGATTACAATTAATATCTCTTCCCATACGTACAATTAATAACTCTTCCCAAACCTTCTAGAGGAGGGTCTGGTGAGGCATGTAAAGAATATAAGCAGTCGATAGCGAATCATCTGGTTACGGGCTATTCATGCCCGTGCCACCTCTTGGGTGGCTTAATCTTTATCAATCAATCAATCATCTGGCCAGAGGTCGCGACCTCTCCGTAGGGTGCAGTCGCACCTCCACAGATCTCCAGTATCAGCTAATGATACTGGTAATGGCTCCAAAGGGCCACCACTTACGGGCTATTCATGCCCATGCCACCTTTTGGGTGGCTTAATCTTCATCAATCAATCAATCATCTGGTAGTTACAGCCCCGCTCCTGTGCCAGGTAAGTCCACTACGGGCTCACCATAGCCCGTGCTACTTGGAACTTTTTGTTCCAAGTAGCTGAATCTAAATCAACAACAAGAATCTGGTTTACGGGCTCACCATAGCCCGTGCTACATAGACATTTCGTTCTGAGTAGCTAAATGTAAAACAACAAACGAATCATCTGGTTACGGGTTATTCATACCCGTGCCACCTCTTGGGTGGCTTAATCTTTATCAATCAATCATCATCAAGTTACAGCCCCCCTCCTGTGCCAGGTCCACTACGGGCTCACCATAGCCCGTGCTACTTGGAACCTTTTGTTCCAAGAAGTTGAATCTAAAAACAACAACAGAATCATCATCAGTTTTAACTTCAAGAGTGGTTCAGTACAGACGCTTGAGAGATACACCTCACGTCTTCAACATTCACCAACAACAATGTAACACTCCACGTGCCCAGTTCCTACCCTCACAAGACGCTTCAGCCTCCACACACAGCAGACAGCCAGACTCCGGCCTTATCGAGCTTCCATGCTCTCGTCCCACAGTTTCGGACTCAGCTTCTGGACTCCGCCTACATTCAGAGCACCATACTCTACTACTCTCACCCCGCATCCGAGCTCTCTACCCCCGGCCTCACTCAGCTCTCTGCCCTGCTCCTGGCTTCGTCTCAACTTCTACGACAGCCTCCCCGTAAGAAGCTGTAACGACTTACTCTGAGCTGGTACAGAGACTTCCTCTCGTAGTCCAGGTCACCGACCAGCCTCAACACGCCCTTCCCGTCCACGGTGTTCACAGTGAACTTCTCTGCGTCGCTTTCAGAGTCCGCCTCCAGACGGTAGATAACCTGTTCATACAATAACACGTCCAATATTCTCTGCATTAAACAATATTCCCATCAAAAGGTATTTTTTAAATTAAAGACTTATCTGCCGTTATATTATATACATTACACTACTGTCAGCAAAAGCCTTCAAGATGTTCATATATTTCCTAACAGCGGCAACCTTAAGCATTGGACTGCGCAGCTATTTGAAATTACCACATCCAGTTGCGCATGATTTAAAATAGTTAACAAATTAAATAGGGAAAAATCGTATATAGCGACTGAAACACCGGAGGAAACCGGAAGAGTGCGAGTGTTAAAGAAGAATGGTTTACCTGACCGAAGGGCCCTTCGTCCTGGTCAGTGGCAAGCAGCGTAGCCAGCACCTGTGGCGGGGCGTTCTCGTCCACGGCCAGCGAGGACTCGTACGGTCGGAAGATGGGCTCGTTGTCGTTGATGTCCTCTACCAGGAGCAGCATAGACTGTGTGATGAACTGTCCCTCGCCCAGCTTGTTGTCCGTCAGTGTCAGCACCACCGTGTACTCGTCTTTGATCTGTGGGAACATGCACATGTATGCTCCTTGTGCGCAATGCTATCACAATATCGTGTTGTATCTAATACAAACTCCTTGGAGCACGACAGCGGGATCGATCCTTTTATACACCTCTCTTTCATACCAGCGCTCACCACACATACACACACACACACCTGTCTCAACCCAGCGCTCACCACACACACCTGTCTCAACCCAGCGCTCACCACACACACACACCTGTCTCAACCCAGCGCTCACCACACACACACACACCTGTCTCAACCCAGCGCTCACCCCACACACCTGTCTCAACCCAGCGCTCACCACACACACACACCTATCTCAACCTAGCACTCACCTGTCTCATCCCAGCGCTCACCACACACATCTGTCTCATCCCAGCGCTCACCACACACACCTGTCTCATCTCAGCGCTCACCGCACACACCTGTCTCATCCCAGCACTCACCACACACACCTGTCTCAACCCAGCGCTCACCACACACACCTGTCTCAACCCACACACCTGCTAGCATCCACACGTGGCACTACCACCCGCTTGCATCCAACCACTATTAGCAGTAGGTTACCTCTCTGTCCAAGGCCTTTTTCAGGTACACATTCGCCTCTGTTGCACCGTTCTGCTCGATCCTCAGCAGGTCTTGTCCTTCGACTCCTCTCACACCGAAGGCGAGGGCGTCGCCGTCGGGGTCTGAGCCGCGCAGGGTGGTGATCTTGGAGCCTGTGGGAACAAGGAAGGGGGACGCCCATGTAGTGATATGCTTGTCACACATTTCAGTACCTAATTCCTTTATATCCACTAACTACTCTACATCTCACCCCTTCACGGACACTAACTGCTCAAAACCGAAATGCGAACGCATTCCAAGAGCAGAGCTGAAGGTAGTTGTGTTAGATCACGACAACTACAACATAAGTTGGGGTAATGCGTGGGTTACAAACTACAGCAGGATACTTCCTTCTTATCACATAATGACTTGGCCCAAAGTGAAATATTACGCAAGTTTACCATTAATATCACAGAAAACCGATACATACTCGCACATCACAAGACAGACTCGCATAAAGTAAAAATAATCTCATTTTCTTACGATTTAATTATTAAATTGTTTCAGACGAAAATAAAACAATATTAAGCTACCAACGTTTCAACAGTGAACCGAATTAAGGGCTGAGAAACATAACATAGTTTGGCCTGGACTCTAGGGCGGGTAAAAAGCACACTATAGGGAATTAGAGGTCAAGCGGACAGCTTATGGCGATATAACACGCTGTAATGGCGCCAAATGATAGCCGTGCCCGCGTCCTAACCCACACACCTCCACCTTATCATTAAATCCTTCATTATGCGCAGCTGTTGTCGGGTAGTAGGCAGCAGCTCCTAGGAAACGTGTAATTGTTACCTACACACAAGGGCAGGAATCGAGTCTTTAAATGGGAACGCGAAGTGAGAACATTGTGAAACGATATATATAAAGTGCAAGAGGGAGGGAGGGAAGAGTGTTACCTGGAGAAAGCGCCAAGCCATTAAGACACTTGGAAGGGTTCAGGATAAGGATTATGGATGGGACGGGGGGGAAGGGAATGGTGCCCAATCACTTGGACGGTCGGGGATTGAACGCGGACCTGCCTGAACCGAGACCGGCGCTCTACTGTCCAGCCCAAGTGGACAGTAGGTTCAGTCCAGTTGGACGGTGGACCTACCGACGGTGGAGGTCCACTGAACAGCTGTGGACTTATAATAATAATTCCAACAATAGTTCCAATAATAATTTAGGACTTGTAGTGAACAGATTCGATCGGTAAACGTTTTCTGTACGTTGTTCAGGTCAGGACTTTCCTGAACTTGTAACCATGACCAGTGTTGAGGGAGGTCAACAGTGTACAGTGTGACCGTTGTTACAACAGTGTACACTGTGACCATGAGGTGCGGGGGGGGGAGGAGAGAGGACAGACAGGTGGACGAGACAACGCCCACCTGTAATTAACGAGCAAGTCTCTTGCCCAATCCCAATCGTCACTCTCGGCAGGTGTGTGTGTGTGTGTACGTGTACACACACACACACACACACACACACACACACACACACACACACACACACACACACACACAGGATGAATAGTAGGAGGCTACAAGATGACCTGGATAGACTGAGTGAATGGTCCAACAAATGGCTGTTGAAGTTCAACCCGAGTAAATGCAAAGTAATGAAGCTAGGCAGTGGAAACAGGAGGCCAGGCACAGGATACAGAATAGGAGATGAAGTACTTAATGAAACAGACAGAGAGAAAGATCTAGGAGTTGATATCACACCAAACCTGTCTCCTGAAGCCCACATAAAGAGAATAACGTCTGCGGCATATGCGAGGCTAGCTAACATCAGAACGGCGTTCAGGAACCTGTGTAAGGAATCATTCAGAATCTTGTACACCACATATGTAAGACCACTCCTGGAGTATGCGGCCCCAGCATGGAGCCCGTACCTTGTCAAGCACAAGACGAAGCTGGAAAAAGTCCAAAGGTATGCTACTAGACTAGTCCCAGAACTAAGAGGCATGAGTTATGAGGAAAGGCTGCGGGAAATGCACCTTACGACACTGGAAGACAGAAGAGTAAGGGGGGGACATGATCACAACCTACAAAATCCTCAGGGGAATCGACCGGGTAAACAAGGATGAACTATTCAACACTGGTGGGACGCGAACAAGGGGACACAGGTGGAAGCTGAGTACCCAAATGAGCCACAGAGACGTTAGAAAGAACTTTTTCAGTGTCAGAGTAGTTAGTAAATGGAATGCATTAGGAAGTGATGTGGTGGAGGCTGACTCCATACACAGTTTCAAATGTAGATATGATAGAGCCCAGTAGGCTCAGGAATCTGTACACCAGTTGATTGACGGTTGAGAGGCGGGACCGAAGAGCCAGAGCTCAACCCCCGCAAGCACAATTAGGTGAGTACAATTAGGTGAGTACACACACACACACACACCTTTGTCTACTCTGTAACAATCAGGGGCCGGCAGGCCGAGCGGACAGCACGCTGGACTTGTGATCCTGTGGTCCCGGGTTCCATTCCGGGCGCCGGCGAGAAACATTGGGCAGAGTTTCTTTCATCCTATGCCCCTGTTACCTAGCAGTAAATAGGTACCTGGGAGTTAGTCAGCTGTCACGGGCTGCTTCCTGGGGTGTGTGTGTGATGTGAAAAAAATAGTAGTAGTAGTCAGAAACAGTCGATTGACAGTTGAGAGGCGGGCCGAAAGAGCAGAGCTCAACCCCCGCAAGCACAACGAGGTGAATACACATACTAGGTGAATACAACTAGGTGAATACACACACACACCACCCTTCCCTCCCCCCACAAACACACGCATACACACACCCATCTCCCCCCCCCCACCTCCACACACACACACACACACACACACACACACACACACACACACACACACACAGGTACAGCAGAGTTCATTAGTCTGTGGCCCAGCAGACAGATATCTTTGTATTCTCAGCGGCTAATTACACCTTCCCTCCCTTACACCTTAATGACCTACTTTGATCTTCCCCACGTATTTCTTAATCTATATTATTTACTCAGTACTGGGTAATTACCCTCAGTGACCCCGGGTCACTTCATGGGCCGAGGTCAAGCCTCTACGCCACCAGCGTACACAATCAGATCGGGTTGCGTAAATGTTCATTAATATTATATAAACTCTTGTGGCTATATAATGGGCTGGAAGTCGTAGCCAGGACTCCCCCTGGTTCATCCATCGCATGGCTCCAATATTTGATAGGAGCCATCACGTTCTTGTGGAGGTTACCGTCTAGCGCCTACGTCTGAAATAGTCTTAAATTTGTTATTTAGCTTCAGGAGTCATGTAGTCTGTGGTGGTGTAACGCGTCTGTGTGATCCTTGTGATCAGCCCCCCTTTCCCTTCCCCTTGGGTGGCCCTGGGCGTGTGTGACCCTTCCGATCACCCCTTCCACTTCCCATTAGGTGGCCCTGGACGTGTGTTGTGGTGGAATATTTCCTCCGCACAAAGGTTTGTTGAAGGTCTTGCTTGACACACACATGGCTCATGTGAAGAATGAATATATCGTGATAATCTGATCTACTCATCCACCGAGTGACAATAACAGCTGCAAGGATCAAGGCCCCCCCCCACCCCCAAGGAGACGTCAGGGTAACCTCCTAACCCAGGTGTAGACAGCCATCAACAACACCGTTACTGGTGACTTTAGTAACGTCGTACATCTAAGGTAACGCAGCTACCCCAAGTCTCTTGTTCTTCATATTTGTTAAACCTTAGTAACAATGGTTTTGGGGAAAATTGATTTACCACTTTCAAACACTGAGTGTGTTGAGATGGTTCCTGGGTTAGGCACAACAGCCCGGTTGATCAGATACCCTTTTGAGGTGTTAATCGTGTTCTCTCTTGTACACTGTTGTTCAATCTGTTATAATGCTCTTTGTATAGAGGAACGTTTGAAAGCGTTGCTCGACAGTTTGTATCGAATTATTCCTTATGTATTTATATATTCATGTCAAGCCTGGCCTCAAACCTGGCTTGGGGAGGAGCACAACCCCCAGAAACCATGTGTGTGCCTCATGTGTGCCTCCTAGTCTTCAGATAACACATTTCAGTGTGCACATTTAGAACCAGTCCCTTGACAGTATAATATTGGTCTGCTGTAGATTGTGATTTATCTGGTCCGCTCGCGTCCGGGGAATGCAATTTGGTAAGATTTTAAGCGATCCCAATAATCGTTCTGTTTCAATGAGTGGATGTAATTGTTATATATACACCGTCTCCAGGTCTGCAACTCCTCCAGCTTTGATGGGGCTGTTATTGTGCAGCATTATTGCAATTGTTACTGTGCAATATCTCTAACCACTTATGTCTTAAAAAGTATCTCTAGTATGGCCTCCCTTGTCTGAAAGGTTCTTGTTATCCACCCTGGTATTTTTCTTGCAGTTGTAACGGCTACTTTATGGTGTTCTTTAAAAGGTAAGGTCTTCCAGTATCATTTCTCATAGATGCTTAAAATTACATTTTAGTTCTATAGCGTAATTTAACTGCGTTTTATATGTGGCTTCCATTTTTATATTTTCGTTTTTTCCATTGCGCAGGAGTTGGAAGTTATCTTTATTAAGCATCCTGTTACTTGATGTGGGCATTGAAAGACCTGATTTACATCAGATTGGAGATTTGCTGTGTCTTCTCCGTTGTCTACTCTCATGCAAATCTTAGTGTCATCTGCAAAGGGTGAAACGGTACTATAGTTTGTGTCTTCGTCTGTTCGGTATAAGGGTGAGAGAGTACCGGAGCAAGCACAGTACCCTGGGGGACTGAGCTTAATACGGTGGATGATCCGGATTTTACTGTGTTGACTAATACTCACCAGGATATGTTAAAAAACTGAAGATCCATCTCCATACTCTGCCAGTAATTACGTTTGAAAGATTTTTTTTGTGTGGGGGTATTATTTGTAATAATACCATAGTCCCATTTGTCGAAGGGTTCTGTTGACCCTGTGTATATAAACTATTGTTTATACATCATACACGCTCTGCTCTTCTTCCCTGGCCGCTGAGACCATGTCCTAGTGGTCCAGCAACTGTACGAGGCAAGGCCGCCCTTCTGAACCCGTGTTGACCAGGGTTACGGTGTGCGGCCTCTCGTGCTCTGTGGTAGGGTTTTTATTACTAGTGGAGGGTA